ATAATGTATTATTTCTCATAGAGCACGATAAGCTACCATCGCAAGTCCTTCACGCGCGAACAGATCCTTTAGACGGTATCCGAGTTGGAAGCACTTCAGCCTCCGTCGGTAAGATCCTCGTTCCCCTCACTTTCAAAAAGGTCGTTGATGGAACAGTTAAGTACCAATTCTCGAGGAGCACGATCATACGTCGTCCGGCGCTCTAGGGAGCCGTCTTAACGCTGTGGAAGGTTAGCACCTGCTACCACTTCCGTCCAAGTACATTAGAGGAACCACAACATCCTCTACTTACACCTCTTAAGTACAGCCTGTTCTCCACGTGTGTGTGTGTGTGTGTGTGTGTGTGTGTGTGTGTGTGTGTGTGTGTGTGTGTGTGTGTGTGTGTGTGTGTGTGTGTGTGTGTGTGTGAGAGAGAGAAAGAGATCCTACCTTCCATTATTAAACAATGTATCCTTTCTATTGTTCTCTCTCACTTCTCATCTCATCCCTATCTTTCTATCTTTTTCTTCCTCCTTCCGATCTCTTGCCTTCTCTCCTCTTTTTCTCCTTCCTCTTCCCGCTCCCCTCTCAAGAATAAAACCGAGCGTTATTTACAAATCATTCTCGTAAAACATAAAAGATGCGTCTGTTTTCCTCTGCGTCCAATGCTAGCTATTTTTCTTTACTTCCTACCCCATTTTTTTCTCTTCTATTTTTCCAGGCTTCTTGACTCTCTACTCGCTATTCCTGTATATATACCTGTGTTGATATATATGTATCATATATATGTATGTATATATAAAAGATGCATGTGTGTAATGTATGAATGCTTATCTACATTTAGTACACATTCATCTGTGCATATTTCTTCCATCCCTCCTTTATTTATTATTTGGAAAAGAAAATACTTTTCAAAAATGTACTAAGATGCCCTAGAGCCTCTTTTCGAATCAGACATCTTCAAAATATCATATATTGTTCAGGCATGGTGAGGAGAGGAAATGCAAGAAAGCGATACAAATACTAACCAAAAAATAAGGAAACAAAGCACAAACCAAAGTAAACGTCGCATGCTCGCTGCAGCATTCTCGTTAATGTGAAAATGAGAACCAGACTAGCGCCAGTTGGATCAGTCCCCTCTTTGGGTCGCCCCTCCCGCTGGGTCGGCGCACCCCTCCTCTCCGGCTCGTCCAAGGATATGAGGACCCCTGAACGAGTTGACCTACATAGCCTTAGGCCAGGTAGGACATTAACCTTGCTACTGACCTATAATGAGTGTCTGGACTCCGATTAGGCTTTAAATTCGTTGACCTAATTCACCCCCCCCTCTCCCCCTCTCTCTCTTTCCGCACTATTTATCATTCAGTCCCGGATTCCATACGATGGACATATAGAGGAAATTTCCGTCGATGGGAAAACTGATTTCACTAAAAAAATCTAAAGTAGGCAGCTCTCGCCTTTTATATTAAACTTGAATTCAGGCCAAAGAACTTACCGAGGGAATACCCAAAGCTGCCCCCTAACATTTAACATACATGTACGTGAAGATAGCCCAACTGGCATTTTCCCTCAATTAGAGACGTTTCCTATCTCTCTCTCTCTCTCTCTCTCTCTCTCTCTCTCTCTCTCTCTCTCTCTCTCTCTCTCTCTCTCTCTCTCTCTCTCTCTCTCTCTCTCTCTCTCTCTCTCTTCTCTCTCTCTCTCTCTCTCTCTCTCTCTCCTCTCTCTCTCTCTCACCCTTCCTCCCTCCCTCCTTCTCCTAGCCTGGTATCAGATAATAATCTAGGCTTGAATAATGATGAGTCTGACCCTGGTGCCAGATCTTGCAATGTAGCACTATTCATATATAAACATATATGTAGGTATGTATGTGTATATGCATAAGTATGTGTATATACATTCATATATATACACATACATATACACACATACACATAAATATATGTTACTTTTGCATTAACACACACAAACACACACAGACACACACACACACAGACACACACACACACACACACACACACACACACACACACACACACTCACACACACACACACACACACACACACACACACACACACACACACACACACACATACACACACATACACACACACACACACACACACACACACACACACACACACACACACACACACACACACACACACACATACACATACACACATACACACATACACACACACACACACACACACACACACACACACACACACACACACACACACACACACACACACACACACACACACACACACACACACACATGTGTGTGTGTTTATACAAAGATACATACATACATAGCATACATTACATACATATATGTTCACATAATTACGCAAAGTATAAAAGAGTATTGTAAAAATACCTGTCATAACAGCAACAAGAGAAGCGCAAATACATACTATTAAACATGACGTGAAAATAAGCCGAAGCCGCAGCCAGTACCACTCTGTGCGCGAAGACGGACACAGCCCCAGCTACAAGTTCGATGTCGCACAACTGTAAGAAGAAAAAGTCTAAATTAATAATTTTCTTAGTGTCTATGACTGTCTGAACTAAACAAGAAAAAAGTCAGAAATATGCGCGCGCGCACACACACAGAGGTGTAGATAGACAGATATGAAACATTAATGTTACATTTAAAATGACATCAGAATTAAAGTCACCGGTGATAGTGCCCCCGGCAAAAATGAAACCAGTCAAATACTCACTGTTAAATTTCAATACAAATGTGTGTCTGTATGTGTTATATATGTGTTTGTATGTATGTGCATATATATATATATATATATATATATATATATATATATATATATATATATATATATATATATATATATATATATATATATATATATATTATATATATGTATATATATGTAAATATATGTATATACATATATATACATTTATATATATATATTATATATATAATATATATATATATATATATATATATATATATATATATATATATATATTATACATATGTATATATATGTATATATAATATATATATATATATATATATATATATATATATATATATATATATATATATATATATATATATATATATATATATATATATATATATATATATATATTATATATATATATATATATATATATATATATATATATATATATATATATATATATATATATATATATATATATATATATATATATATATGCAAACACACACACACACACACACACACACTTAAATACACATATACACATACAAACAATTATTTATAATCTTTTAATAAGATGAAACCGGACAGCTTATAAAACATTTACGCATTACCCATACATTTATTTGCCGGTTAAAATATAAGTGCGAGATAACGACAACAAGAACAACAAAAACATGAAATATACTTACAACAGAAGAAACAACAGAAGAAACAAATTTGCACAAACCATTCGCACAACTCAACTATTAAAACTGACACAAACACGATAAAGAAATTGTATCAAAAACACCTTCCCGTATAACAATACTTTAGTTATACACAGGTGTCATAACCTGGTCACGCGAGGCAGGTGTGTCGGGCGATAAGCAGCTGTGTAATCATTATAGCGACACCTGCACTCGCTCTGCTCTGAAGTTCACAAAGTTCAGGAATCAGCTTTTCGACACGTGAGAGATGCGATTAATGCCTTTTCTCTTGCGTACGAGTGATGTAACAGTTCGTGGCTGGATTACAGTTTTTTCAACAAGGCATCAACGACGCTCAGTTTTGAGAGTACTACAATCATATTTGTGATTGCAGCATGTGAGAGTTGAGTGCAAGGCGTTGATAAGAAGTGGCTATGTTACAAACATGTGCTATATTTGCATTTTAAAGTGAGATTTACATTCATATTTTCTAAAGGCCAGAAAGAATGACTGCACAAATAGACACACACACACACACACACACACACACACACACACACGCACTTTCTAGAACTATATACATCTGCACCCGTACACCATACTCACTCATGCACACCCGCACCGTGATGCTTGTACACAGGTGTTTGAACTGTATGTGTTTGTCAGGGTTAGTCTCTGCCGCCTGAACGATAGTATTATAATTTCTGTTAAAATGTAAGAATTTATTTAGGCGTTAAAGTGAGTTGAAATGCTAAGGAGGATTTAGTAAAGAAATAGATGCAAATAAAAGAGAAAAAATGTGTTTTTCTTTATCAACTCCAAACTCTTCCTCCTCCGCTTTCTCTCCTCTCATCCATTTTTCTCTCCATATCTCATTCCTTTTTATATTTCTTCTCTCTTTCTTTCTATTTCCGGCTAATACGCAATCATTTTTCTCTGTATACCTATCTATCTATTTACCTACTATCTATCTACATCTGTCTGGCCGTCATTTAGGCAATCTATCCTTCTTGGTTCCCCCAGCCTCCTTCTCTGACTCGGCCCCGCCTTTTCCACTGCCGCCTGAATGTAGAGTAGAGTAAACGTATAAACTAAACCCGAGTTCGCCGTCGACTGTCACTGATCAAAGGGAAAAATCACATCGATATCAAACGTGTTCTCGCTTCCTCCTGCCCCCAAGCTTTTGATAGGAGTCTAGGCCTACATGTCAGAGCAACCTAGTACAGAGTGTTGTTATTACGGGGTCAATTAAGGTTGATAGGAAACCTAAGGGCGTATATGTTTAATGTCTTATTTATTCTTCAATGTTTGAATCTTCCTGTTGGACAGTGCGTTTTATTTGTGTGGGGCTGCTTATTTCCTTATTTATTTCATATGATTTATTGTGTAATGCGCAGTCACAAGAAAATCATCCTTTCTTAAAAAAACTTTATTCTGAAATCATTATTGCCATTGTTTTACTCTAATCCTATTTCCAAGTCGAAACGCAGAGGAAAGGGATATATTTCTCTCTTCCTCCGACCCTTTTGCTCAGCGCAGCAGATCGGTCAACCCCCGCAACACCTGCGTCATGGAGCGGGAGGGAGTTCAGTGTCCTGATGTGACCTAGATGAGCTAATACGATAAGTTATCTCTTTCCTGGCCTGTCTTCTTTGCCTGCGGTCAGAAAGGTGCACTGTGCACGATATGCGGACGGGAGTATAACCGTTATCGACATGAGAAGTTTAGTATTATTGAAGCCCGAGTTAGTGATGATCAAGTGTGTCTGGCTTGATAGTCAGATCATGCACCGTCGGCCTGAGGTTTTGCCGATGATGAGCTTCGCAAAATGAGTAAATATTTCATAGTTTGTAACTACCTGCCAACTCTCTTTCTCTTTATTCTCCTTCTTTCCTCTCTTTAACAGTTTCATTTATTTCCCTCTTTCTGTTCACCAACCTATATATATATATATATATATATATATATATATATATATATATATATATATATATATATATATATCTATCTATCTATCTATCTATCTATCTATCTATCTATATATATCCTTCTTTTTTCCTCATTGTCTTCCCCCCTCTCTCTCACTTTCTTTCTCAATCTATCACTCTTTTTTTATTGTTCTCCTTCCTATCCTTCCTCTAGTTTTTCCACCCCCTTCCCCGTTATTCCTTAACCACTCCCCCCTCTCCATGCCCTCCTCCCCCTTCCCCGCGTACTGAAACAGACCCCAAGGGACTCCGAGGCTACACCGACACAGAAATTAGAAGGCTCGAGGCGACCCAGCGGGTGAGCGGGCAATAAAGAAGCCATTGCAGCTGCACCGAGAAGGAAAAGGCTGTAGCCAATGGAAGGAAAAGCAACTCGGGACCAACAGTCTTGTCGTAATAGACGACAGCGTTAAAGAGAACTGCAATTGCAACAGATATAACTCCGTTGCAAGACTTTCGAAATTTGGATTGCATCGGAACATCGCCTGAAAATTAACTGCTGCAACAGCCATTGCTATCCCACAATAGATGCATTCCGAACTCGTCAACAGCTTATTACATTACTTGAGTAACAGTCGTACAACTTCCTCCTTAGGAAGGTAAAATCATAATCATTATTATAAGGATGATGATACCAACAACAACAATTCTTCAATAATGGTAAGAATAAGAACAACAAAAATAAGAAAGAAAGGAAATAGTTCAGAAGATATGGGAGGTAATTGGATACTACGCGGAGATTGGATGTGGATTGGAATAAATTCAATACCTTCGGATAACATGGCTCAGGGGAAGGATTGCCGGAATTGTTGCTGAACTACGGGAGGCTTGAGACGAAGGGGGGGGAGGCGGGGGGTCACGGTTCGTTCTCCCTGTTTCTCGCCGCCGCCGCCCGTCTGCTTCGCCTGCGCCGCTGTCCCTGGTTGTCGATTTTACCTTCAGACTCTCTTTATATATATATATATATATATATATATATATATATATATATATATATATATATATATATATGTATATGTGTATATATGTATATATGTATATATGTATATATATATATATATATTTTTATGTATACATATATGCATGTGTGTGTGTACACACACACACACACACACACACACACACACACACACACACACACACACACACACACACACACACACACACACACACATATATAGTTTTATATATATAAAAAATATATGTGTATATGTATAAATATATACATGTGTGTATATATATAAATATATACATGCGTGTATATATATAAATAGATAGATAGATAGATACATTTGTGTATATATATGAATATGTACATTAGTGTATATATAAAAATATGTACATTTGTGTATATATATAAATATATATATCTGTATATATATAAAAATATATATATATGTAAATCTCTCTCTCTCTCTGTACTAGCCTCCGGGCTAGTACAGTGGTAACGTGTCGGCTTCTCATCCGAGGGGTCGGCGGTTTGCGCCCCGCCCAGGCACGAGAAGTTGCAATTGTCGCCTGGAAGTTACTGCTGTGGCTGGGCACCACGGTGGGTAAGGACTAAACTCATCCGAGTCAGCACCAGCTGACACACTGTTAGCTAGTCGACATTAGTCGGCACAGGCCGGGCTCCCCTCATAGCCCGGGCGAGGCTCAGCTTCGCATATCGGACTTATCCTTCTCTCTCTCTCTCTCTCTCTCTCTCTCTCTCTCTCTCTCTCTCTCTCTCTCTCTCTCTCTCTCTCTCTCTCTCTCTCTCTCTCTCTCGCTCTCTCTCTCTCTCTCTCTCTCTCTCTCTCTCTCTCTCTCTCTCTCTCTCTCTCTATATATATATATATATATATATATGAATGTAAATATATACATTTTTATTTCCAGTCTTGGCCCCATTTCGTTATTTCGTCAAGTCATCTTGTCGTTGGTCGAGTCTTTGGCCTCTTTATGTTATCTACAGCCCTGTCTATTATTTTCTTTGTTCTTTATTCACCCGCACATGTCCTAACCACTACGCATATGTTCATTTTCGTACACATGCACATGCAAACACACACCTTTACACATGTTCCTATGCATATGATATGCATACATACTCCTACGTTATACACATATTCACATACATACAT